CATCACCATCACCACCACCAACCATAAGGTCTTGAGCTTCCTCAGTTGATTCATTTGCTTCCTCAGAAGTGGTTTGTGATGTGGATTCGTCTCTCTGAATTGTAAAAGTAAAATTTTTGATTAGAAATATGATCAAAAGTCAGTGTTTTATTAATTTTTTTAGATTGGTTTATAAATTATTGAATAGGGGTGTATGGGTGAAAATTTAGTAGCCTCTAAAAGAAGGGGGATTTCAAATAATTGATGAGTATTGTATTTTCTCTATTGAGGCCCCGTCCACACTATGCCAGATAAATTTGAATCTGAATTTTTATTTATTCGGTTAGGCCTACTGTCCACACTAGTCCTAGCGAATCTGGAACAATATTCTTCACCGAAAACGAATTTTTTCGAATACGGTCTTCAGAGTGGAACAATTTGAAAACGCTGGCTAGCCGTATTAGTGTGTACGGAGAACATTTCATACCCGAAATTTTTCGAATTTAATGACGTCATGATTGTCATAGGAACATGGCGGGAGGGCTAAAAATTCACTGTGGGCTCAATTTCAGCTTCGTTGCACATGTTCAGATGTGCAATGATGCGTTTTTGCCGCCTCTGATTAGACAAGTGTGGACGCAAAACATTTTATCCGTTTACATGTGTGGACGGAAAATTTTTTTTTGGGTTTTGGTGTGAAAGTTGCGGATTCAAATTTATCCGGCATAGTGTGGACGGGGCCTAAGACCCCAGCCTCTAACATCCCCCCTCAACCCTGAAACAAACCCTGGACTGATCAAAGTCAGGATACAGCCAACTCACAAATGGTCTTAGATTACAGACGATTTTTTAAATTACAGTCATTTACACCTAATGAAGTTAAGGCAGTGACTTGGTCTTAGATTACAGAGGATTGTGCAATAGCTCAGACACCCACTCACCTCCACATAAATACAACATTCATTGCTGCCAGTGTCAGAACATGACTTCTGTTCCCCTTTAAACCTGAAGGCAGCATTGTGTGTTTTGACATCATAAACATCAGCGGGAACACACTGAGCTCCTTTGTAAAGCAGCCCAGATTTATCATTAAAAGATGATGAATTGTCCTGATCTGGTAACAGCCTTTCATCGCAAACGGGCCATGTTTTCGCCAGAAAAGTAACACCTGCTTTTGTATTGCTACAGGCAGGGAGTGACAAAAAAGGTATTGCATTGTTAGTTACTTGAGTCCGGGAGTACACTGATCGAGTTAAAGAGGAATCATTCGAATGTCGGGCAAGGAATGAAGAGTCGACACCAGAAACGATGTAATCATCTCGTAAAGACTGTACACCTATTGTCTTTGGTCTTGCACCCTGGGATATCCAATCAATATCCATGTCTTCTGTTTCTTTGAYGATGCTTAAACATTCCCGATCCCTGTTGTCCTGCTGCGAGGAAARCAACGGATGAATCCTGTCAGATTTCAATTCAGCACTGCAGGCCTCATCTATAACCTTGGAGACGTCATGTGTTCTTGTTTCCCCTTTATATACTACTTGT